CTTTAAAACTAAACGGTTAACAAAAGAATTTTTTAAAACGCCTATTGTTAATCTTAGGTTTAAAACAAGTTTCTTTCCTAAGATTGTAACTGGACGGTTAAACACGAGGCGTAATAGATAAAAGTTGATGTCCTTTAGCATTCGAAACTTTGCTGAAAATTTTACGGTCTTGTCTCTATAGGAAGTCATAAACACTTAATAAATGCTTAGACGTAGATTAATTTTTAAAACAGCGATCTAAGAAATATTGTACAGGTGTAAGATCGGCGTCGGAAGCGGCGTAGACTGATAATGCGTAATTAATATTAGGTAGAACTATTTTTTTAAAGAGAAGGTCTATTTCTGACTGATTGTACCCCTCTTTGCGCAGCGTTCTAAGGATGCGCAGGGATTTGTTAGCTTTAATAAGTTTTTTCTACACGTGCACTGAAAATTTGCTGCCTCTCTTTTGATCGTCAACTCTTTACATTTGCTTGGATTGCAAGACATTCCATTTTTAGTCATCCAATCTAAAAACTGTGACTCTAAGAGATCGGAGTAATGTACCTTCTTCCATACAGGAGCAATAATTTTCGAATCATCAGCGTACTAAATAACGCATCATGATTACCAAAAGTGATGTTAAGATCGTTGGGGAAGATGTTGAAAAGGTAACGACCGCTAACGCTACCTTGAGTTGTCCATTTGTTAACCGGTTTTCAGTCGCACTTAAAGTTGTTGCAAGATACCCTTTGTTTTGTATCCTTTAAGAAGTTCAAGTACCAGTTGGTAATATATGGATTGAGTGGGAGCTTTTTTAAATTTATTAGCAAGAAGTTCAGGCACTTATTCAATTCAGATAGTCTTTTACCATCAAAAATATTATATTTGTCTCTATTTGTCCTCTATAGCAAATGCATCATTGTCTTGTTTGTCTCAAAGAAAAATGTTATATTTGTCCCTCACTAATTATCACATCCGAGAAATGTAACATCTAATCCAAATAGTATATAACCTATAATTGGCTGGCCTACGTTTGCGCAACAAATATTAAGTTTAATGACAGAGGAAGGGGTATAAGGTGTTTTCGATACACAGTTTTTCAGAGACCATACCGATATTTTTCAATCGCCTTCAAAGTGATTTTTTCCTTGTCCGATCGCTACAAAATTTTCACCAGTAATTGGTTATGGCTTGAAATTTGTGAAAATGCAGTTTTAAGTAAAATCGATATTACTATGACAACACTAAACAAAAATTTTGAAATTGATAAAGCCGAATTTTCTCAATGGGTACCGCCAAATAAAACTCTCAAGAAACATCAAATTCTAGATCTTACCTTCGGTTAATGCTACACTCATCGGATTTCACTGTTTTTTTTTTTTTTCGCTAAAAACCAACCAAAAACTCGCCATTTTTGTTTGGATTTTCACGTGCGTAGACTTGCATGGAAAGATTATTAAAACCAAAGGTTGCAGAAACTGCGAGCGCATGGGCGAACACGTTACTTGCAAGCGAATTAGGAAAAGGGGAAGAAGGCGAGTGGATAAGGAAAGTGCCTTTTACGTCTCGTTTCTCTCCAATTTCCTTCCAGGGTCGTCCGCTCTCTTCAGTCGCGCCAAGTCATCGGCCGACTCTTTCTTGCAGACCACAGGGATGAACTTGTTTTTCTCTGTCCAATAATTCATTTGCTCCAAGCTTTTCTTTACCATATTATTTTACTAAATTTTTTGAACATTCGTAAGTACACTACACAACACAGTATTAGGGCTGGTTCGCAGAAGCAGAAGACCTAAACCAATCACAAAGCGTGAAAACGTGCTTTGTGATTGGTTTATTCTTATGCTTCTGCTTCCGACTCCGACAATATGGTTTTCACTAAATAAACGACGGGATCGTTAGCGAAGTTGGAAGAAAATGAACCGTTCTGATTCTTCCGACTCCGATTCCGTCGCGCTTATAACTGGGCTTATGACTCCGATTTTTTATTTTCACAAGACCATAGGCGCTCTTACGACTCCGCTTACCATTCTGACTCCGACTCCCTTTTGAACTCCCTTTAACACAGCAAACGCTCAGAGCATACAGACTTTCCGCCGCCGAGCGAGGCATTTGTTTGGTAACTTTTATTGAAGTTTTCTTGAAATCTTAAGGATTTTAAGGATTTTTTAAAATGTACATGTACCGTGTAATAAACTTTTGCATCTATTTTAGTGCTTTTAAATATACAGTTACAATATTTTATTCTATTATTGTGTTTTCGGGTTTTACAATGTAATCTCAAATTCTTAACGAAAAGTAGTTTTCAGGACGCAGGGCACCCATGGAGACCATCACCTTGAGGTGATTTGGCCAGCCTGTTGAAATAAAGTGTTACTTTGCTTTACTTTTGACCGACTAAAAGGGGGTGTCTGCAGCTTAGCTTAGGGCACTCGCTATCACGCCGCTTACATACAAACTGCAAGCCAGTTAAGTAATAATATCATGAGACGTAGTGTTTCATCACTAGATGAAACACCGAGAAGGGAGTTGAAAATACGACGCGCAGCGGAGTATTTAAGACGAACTTCGAAGTGGTTCATTAGGTGATGATTTACTTTGTCGAATGCTTGATATTATGATATTATGCTTGATATTATGATATTCTCAAACAAAATGATTTTAGAAGGAGAAATTAAGGATGCAAAAATGACCAGTTTTTCATCTGATTTCCAAACGCTTATTAAACATTTATTTCTTTAGTATTTTCTTTATGAATTATTAATGAGTTTGAGAATGTAGTTTTGAAACAAGATGATCGTGAATAAGAACCTACCTGCACGAGACGGGACGGATGATTAGAGCTATAATCACCAGGAAACATATAAAAAGCAAAACCAGGGCGACAATTCCGCAAGTCCTCCAATATTTTAACTCTGTTGGTGGAAAACAATTTTGAATAGTTAAGAACTGTAAAACCTGTGGGTGTCATCATCCCTGATATTATTCATTCAACATAATGGCTGTTTGTGAAACCAGTTGGCTATTTACAAATTACGCGTGGCCGAAGATCTGCCGAAAATTTGAACTCGGGAAAACCGAGAACAAATCCAGCTGGTGGCCAGAGCGGGACGCGGAGCCGGGACCGTCTGAATACGAGTCCAACGCCATGATCGTCCGTTAAGTAAAAAAATTATTGGAGGAACGACGCCATACAAAGCCACCAGCACAGCTGTGTTTGTTCTGCTAAGCTTGAGAAAATAGTTGGACATTTTTAGACGGTTGGCGACGACGAAAAATAAAGTAGGTAAATTACTACATTAAGATAACAAGAAGCCATCTGAGGCTTGTTCACTGCTTTTTGGAAAATATCTGCAAGATATAACATACTGTGAAGGTTTGAACCCAGGAGTCATTTCATAAGTAGATTGAGTATGATCGTCCGGGTGGACGTGCAGTAGTCCATGAAAACGACTGTTGTTGTTGGCAGGGACTTACGTTTCGACAACCTGTGCAGTAGTTGTGATAATTATGAAGACTTATGCAGTTCACATGGAAGTGTTACATGTATGTACAAAGAAAATTTTGGTTGTTGATGCAGGAGGCTTTTAAACATTGAAAAAAGCAACTTGTACGAGGGCTTCAAAAGGAAACCGTTCTTTTAAACAACCAAGAAACTGTTAGACACCAATTTGTAGAACTGTACAGAAATAATGCTCAAAAACACACACGGCGACTGGGATCGTTATTTATACAAAAGTAAAAAAGTCTGTGAAAATAAGAAGCAACAAACTACTGTAACAACACTTGTTGATTTTCATACCTGTCTTCAAGCGGTCATCACCCCTTTGCAGAGCAGACTGTGGCTGACAATTGCTGGCTAGCTCTGTGGATGTTGTGTTTGTCGATTCTGTGACTGAGTTTTGTTCACTTACGCTGCTAACTTCCACTGTACTGGCTGTAGATGTGTGTGCAGCTTGTGTAAAAGGTGCCTGAGTAGTGATTCTGGTTGGTGGTATTACTGATGACATGAATGATGATGATGATGAAGTTGTTGTTGTTGGCAGAACTGTTGTAGGAAGGGCTGTTGTTGGAGTTGGATTATCACGACATTTCAGGACACCCACATCTTCTTCTGGACAGTCTTCATCTGGCAAAATTGTTTTAAAGAATTTATTTACAGTCGACTTTCTCTTAACGGACACTTAAGATGGACACCTCAATAAAACAGACACCTAGACTTGGTCCCTGCCTTTTTTTCGTCCCTTTACTTGACTCTCAATAAGACAGATTACTAACATCGGAAAAAAACTCATGACCCTCCGGACAACCTTCTTAACCCATTCGCCCCTCAAAGCATGTATAACCGTCCGTGCAGACCAACGAGGGTTGTACCACCTGTTACACCATCAGTCTTAACGGTCGAGGACAACTTGGTCTCCTTATTTGTGCAGGAGGAAAAGATCCTTCCCACCATGCCAGAATGAGAACAATTCAATCAAGAAGACCGGAGAAAAGTTCAAACACCATGAAAAGTTGACCCAAAAATCCTAAGAAAAATCTTGTTCCATTACCCACCCGCACTTCCTTCCACCAAATCCTATAATCCTAAAAGCTTTTCCACAGAAGTGTTCCACCAGAATGAGAAAGCCTAGTTAATGCCCAGCAAATAACAAGAAACTGGGCAAAGAAGCGGAAAGAAGAGGGAAGGCGGGAAAGCAAAAGGTAAAAGTCGAGACTACTGTGTGACTTTTAAACACAAATACTCTTCCAAAATTCTGCTTTCTACACATGCCCAAACTTCAGAGGCTGATATTTTAAATCTGTAACAGAAGGCTGCAAAGTGCACAAACTTTAAATGGCATTATGGGACGTTTTGGCAGTCTAAAGCCAGACTGTGACCACAAAACAGCTCAACTAGCGTTAAAGGCAGTTATTGTGGCATCAACTTCACCTTGAAGTTTTTTATTCAAAGCTTTTTACATGTAGTTACCATGGCATGTACCTGTACAGTATGTGTACACTGTACTTCAACACTTCTTTTAATTACACTGTAGTAATTGAACATTACCTGTATGAGTTAGATTACTTTTTTTGCAGACATATACTTCAATTTTCATAAATATTCCAGTTTTTGTGTCATTGCAGTGACCTCCACTAAGGTCATTGAGGTGTGTCTGTGTGCCATCAGATGTCCCTACAATAGATAAACAATAAGAAAACATACAAAACAATTGTTGACTTGACATGGAGATGATTTTGAAGAATATCCTTTTATGTAATATACATGTAGCGTAATAAAACCTGGTTAGTAAGTTAGTCAAGAGAGCAATCTTATAGAAAAAGAGGCCCAGAAGTAACTAATAATACTGAGAAGAATTTTCACACAAATACTACAGTAAAATCATTGGTGTGTGGACTGGGACTAAAATGATTTTGGACTGGGCATCAAATTTTACATGATAAGTACATAAAACTCAACATCACTGATCATGCATTAATTTTTTATGTGATATAGAGAAACAGAACTTGGTTCGTTTAACTCTCAGGGAGTCACTACTGTGGAAACTTTAAGGTACTGCGACTCTTCACCCGTTCCACTAAAATAACACTTCTTCTCCCCCCCTCCCCTCCAAACTTCAGCCCATAATTTGGGTCCCTCAGTCCTGTAAAATTGACTTTCTATCACTTACCAATAAAATAATACTTCTTTCCATCTTTAAACTTCAGCGAGTTTGGGTCTGCTGTAAATTCGGCAAATACCACAGGAAAATATTTCAATGCTGTTGGATCATTGCAACTGAATAAAAGGTTGCTAGTATTGCTTAATGATGTATTACATTGGTCAAACACACTTCTGTCATAGGTAATCCAAAGGTTTTCATAGATGGTTGCAGATTGAGGTGCTGTTAAAGTTTTTTGTAACACAGTGGCTGTGTTTGGACATATGAAGATGACTTTAGATTGCAGTCGGACTTTAAGAGTCATGTATCCTGTGCTACAACTTTGGCTCTTGTTTCTGAATCTATGGAAATATTGAAGTGAAAAATCAGTTTTGTGTTAACATGTAGATGTATTACTAATAAGCTGCAATACCGTACGGTATCGCAGTATCGCAGTATGTGGTGTTGGTGGTGGTGGTGGGGGGAAAATAATAAAATTGTGGAGTTAGGAGGAGGAGGAGGAGGGAAATAAAAACCAAAAGGGAGAGGAATATAAACAAGGAAAACATTGTACGCAGTGTAAAAAAAAAGGATGGCTTGCCCTCTTGACTATTTTAATAGAATCTTAGAATATATTAATTAAATCTTTTTAAAATTAATTTAATAATGGGTCATAAAGTTGTTTTCTTGTCTTAAGAAACGTGTCTGGTTTTATTGCTAGCAATTATTAGTCGCGTGTTTCAATTAATCCTTGTTAAGTTATTAATTGTTTTTTGGGGGTGTGTTTTTATAATAATTCGTCAAGATGCTCCCTTGGGTGTTTTACTGCAGAGCTAATTTGTATGCAACGGTGGGCTTGTGGACTCGCATAATTACCTGACTAACAGCGCGTGAAACGCTGAGACTTAAATAGTTTTTCATTTCCTCGAGATAGAGAGGAGATAACGGTTCTGTAATAGTCAGACAAAAGTGAAATAGAGAGTTTTCAGCTCCACTTTGTGTATATGTGCGTGTGTTTTGTTTATAGCGGGGCTCCCACGCGCGCCAAGCGCGCGTGAGACAGAGCCCTGTACCCATAGATTATGGTCAACCTCTTTTCCTTTGGTTGTCAAGTGATTGACCGAGCGTACGTACGTACACGTCTACGGATTGTACGGGTGGGGTAGGGGGGACTATCAAAAGGAAAGGAGGGGTGTCTCAGGCGTGTCTTGCCAAGTCCACATCTTTTACATTGGACATTCACAATATGGTCAATTGACAGCTGTCAAAACAGGATAGCCACTGACCAGTATCCCATGACTATATCGCGGGCTCATGTGTCAACTCATTGAGGTGACGTGATTTATTTGGAAGCTGTCCGCTGACCAGTTAATTATTTTACTAGATCGCGATCAATGTTCAGTCATACTTTCTAGCTAGTTTGGGATCGGAGCACAGGAAAACTGATACACGTCAATGTTGTGATCCATTGACAGCTGTCAAAACAAGGTATCCGCTGACCAGTATCACTTGACTGTATCGCGGGCTCAGGTGTCGACCCATCGAGGTCAAGTTTTTTTTTGAAGTTATCCGCTGACAAGGTACTGTTTTTCAAATGATCGCAGGCTCAAGTTTAATTTTTTTAAAAATTCAAAAAATTTGTGCCGCACAATTAAAATTTTGATTTCAAACTGACCTCGGACGCGAAAATTCAGCCAGCTGCTAAGGCAGGGAAGACGGTTGCTTTTGACTTTTCTCGCCATGTTCACGCGTTGGTCACGCTCTACGTCCAATTTTTGTGCTCTGATTGGTCAAAATTTGACAGGTGAGTTCATGCGGAAAATTTATGCAGCATCTTGAATCTTGTTTACTTTGACAGCTGAAGCTGACAGAGTTTTGTGTCAACTTGTGATGTTTTTAACTTTCTTTTTCCACTGGATGTACAAAATGAAATTCAGCTGCTATCAGGAGTCTTCCGTTATTCATGCATGGCTAGTTTGTTTATTTGGTTTTTGGTTGAGTCAAAGTCGGAAATCCGATTTCGGATGGCATCGTTTTCGTTTTCACCTTGCTTAATGCGTAAGAGGGTTGCAAAGTCTGAAGCGATACTGGCCTTACTTGATACCTTTCAGGAGCTGCATCTCGAGTGGTAAGCCTAAGTAATTATTGTATTTGATGTTTGTTTTTTATTCCTAATTTTATGAAGTCGAGCGTAGTTTATGCGGCTATTTTGTTTACGCACGTTTGTAAGATTTGAGACAATGATCTGAACGAGTATCAGGTTTGTTATAAGCTTTCAAAGCCTTTAGACATTTTCTCACCGCAAATACAAAGAAAACGTTTCAAAGAGTATTTAGTTATAATTCTGGCTGTAAAAGAAAGGTTTGAGCGATTTTGTTGCCTCGAGTTCATCTTTGACAAGAAGCAAACACTGGGAAGCCGGCTTAAAACGTAAACTTCAGCTTTAAGCTCGAAGACTCAGGATTTTTAGAGACACTTATATACTTGTCTTCCCTGAATGAAAATTGTCGTCTCTGTATATGATTCACCCAATTATACTTCTTTTAATGATTGTTAGTACTCTCTCTTGTAATTTTAACCGCTGTGCCGATTGTTTTCAGTCGTCCAGTACACAACGCTTCCCGGAGTACTCAAAATGCCGCGCGTTAAATCGTTTTAAAATATAAAAAAAACATATAAATTCTTTACTATGTTGGAACGTAACTCTGTTAATGTTCATTCAAACACTCGCCGCTGCTAGCACTGTAAAAGTCAGAACTGGCTGGCCGTATAGATGATTTTTAAAATTTTTTCAACGGTTTACGGCTAAAGCCCACGCGTGCTTCGATCGTCCTGAATAGCAATTTGTATCGCAATATTGTGAAATACTGCATTCTGTTGTCCGAGGTCTGTATGATAAAAACAGTGCCTCATAGTACTGTTTCACCTCAGATGTGATGTATAAATGTTATAAAAGGTTGGTTTACACGCACCCAGATTTGTTGGCAAGATTTTGTAAAATAAACTTGTCGAACGCAAAAAATTCGGCCGGAATTTTTTTTCCAGGCCTAATTAATCTACGGTGATCAAGAGCCATTATGGCTCTTAATAAATGTGATCGAAGATGATTGCCAGTTTTTGGGTGTACTTATGAGGCTATCAACTCGATGTGAGATTTGGTTCACTCTTGGGCTGTTTGCAAATTATTTTTTGTAAAATCACTTAGCCTTTCCCTGAAAAGTCACACGAATGTGCTCTAAAGTTAACTGAATTGTGGAATACAAGTTTATTGTTTGATTTAAATTATAAATTTATTAATGGGAGCCTCGCTTTTAGCCCTGGCTAAATCTATATATTATATCCGAGTTTTAGCGCTAAATAAGACGACGTAAACTAAATTGAAACAAAGACTTTTCAACTTCACTTTCTGCATGTGTTTTGTTTATATATCTTAGTTTTAGCGCTAAATAAGATATAGGAAGCCGCTTCTCGCGTTGCTAGGAGATCGCTTCTCTTATCTGGGCTCAAGTTACTTAACGGGCAAGCCAAGGCAACCCTCTTGTGCCTATTGTAGTAGAGAGACGCTCATTAGTAAACCTATCCACTTCATTCTACAGTATATGGAGGAAGGCACTTAATTAGTGTGGAGGAACGCACTTTTTCTCTAGGTTATAACAATGGGTGACGTCATAGACTATCCCTAAACCATCCTTACCTATCCACCAAAACGGTTAAGTTTCAACATAGTAGACTTCTCAGGGCAAGCTGTAGCTCTGTTTCAGCTCCTGTTAAATAATGTAGGCTTCCCCTGTGAAATACCTCTATGAAAATCCATGGAAATCTATGGAAATCCATGGAAATCCATGGAAATCATCCATGGAGTACCCATGGAGTTCCATGGAATGCCATGGAGTTCCATGGAATATCCATGGAGTTCCATGGAATGAAATGGAGTTCCATGGAGTATCCATGTAGTCCCATGGACTGCCATGGAGTTCCTCGGAGTTCCATGAAATAGTGATGGAGTTCCATTGACTGCCATGAAATTCCATGGAGTTTCCTTGGAGGTCCATGGAATTCCAGGGAACATTGTAGAGTTCCATGGAATGCCATGGGGTTCCCTGAAGTACCAATGCAGTTTCATGGAATGCGATAGCGTGTCCATGGAGTTCGATATAATACCATGCAGTTTGTATGAGAAAATCCATAGAAATTCGGTTATCAAGCAACTCATCAACTTGTTAACCCAGGGTTCGCAAATACTCCAAATTTGGCGTATTTTACGCCAAAATTGTTCAGATGACTCCACAGAGGTTACGGAGGGAGTCACTTCGACGCCAGAAATTTTCGGTAACAAACAGGGAGCCAAATCGACTGCAGAAATTTTCGGTAAAAAACACAGTTTTGTCCTTACCATTTTCGCAACAAATCAAATTTACGTTAATTGTAAACGTTGTAAACCTTAATTAAATCATCGAAATTAAAGAATTATACTGCACGACCAAATAGGAAGAGGGTTAATTACGATCAAAGTTTATTGGATGACAGCCATCATGGATTTGAGCTTTCCAGGTCAGCGGACCGCCACAGCTACTTCGTGTATCCATCACGATAGTGTATACACGAGAGGACTACGTGCTCGAAAGTCTGAAAATGGCTTTTTTCGTTGTGATACTCGACTCCAAATATTCCTAAATGACTCCAAAATTTGTGAAGCAGAAGTCACAGTGACTTCACTCATCAATAAAATTTGCAAACCCTGTAAAATAACCACATGTTCAAGTCTGCACTTTTTCTTGGATAGAAAAATAGGAAACATTTGGAAGTTTTCTAAAAGTGAAATAGTGCATTTAGTTTAAATTACACAGACATTGCAAAAGTATTGTTCACCGACATGCAGGCAACGCTGAAAGTCCCAGTGTAAGACATTTTATTGCTAACTATAAAGAGGAATGTTTTGAGTGCTTAATAAAAAAATGATCCTTTTAAAAGCAGTGTTGCATTTGAAATATGAGAAAATCACTGTTATTAGCAGCACGCAGTTGCTTCATTACATTGACACAGTGCTGCTATTCGTACAGGACCCGTACACCGACATGTATTTGCTATGACATACGGGATCCAAGTCTCTACTTGAAATTTCAAGTATTTCAAGTCTCTCAAGGATTTCAAGTCTCTACTTGAAATTTATATGAAATTTTCAAGTCTCTTGAAATTTCTGATCAACAAATTTCCGTGAAAGTGTAAGTCTCTTCAATCACTGTTCCATTTTTAAGGAAAAAATTTCAGTGGCAAATTTGGAAAAAATTGCGATAAAACATTTCTTAAAATCATTTTAAGATTAAAAAATTGCTAAAAAGCGACGACGTTTCGACGTTAGCTGAA